AGCGAGTTATGAATAGTCTGTAGACAAACCGTTTCTAAGTTTGACTTGCCGAAAGTTGCTCTAATTAAGACGACGAGATGGGGAACGCACTGACCGTCGACGTGGTCGGCCCGATCGTGAGCGACGATCCCCTGCTAAATGTACACGTGGCAAATTATGTGATGAATGACGCAATGTGAATCTTATGATTATCGTGTTTTTAATAGGAATATAAAGCAGGTTAGAGCGAGTGTGAGGGCGAGACTTGCAAGGTTTAACTGTCTTCTTTTTCTCTAGCAACATTGGATGATTTTCGTGATGCGAAGGAGAACTTTGAAACCTTGCAAGGAACTTTAGGAGACAAGATGACTGTCAATCCAGAAGAGTTTGATGACATCTTCTCACTCATTTGTCAAGATTCACTCGAACATTTTGCACTTTTCGACTCGTGGGAAGTCGGCAAGGCAAGTCAACTATTTCTTTCCTTATCAAAAACTTAAAATCTTATAGTTTTTCTTATTTAAAATCAGGTGGATGTGACGGAAGTGTTTGCTGTGATCATCGTGTACTGTAACGCGACGATGGAGGAGAAAGTCCCATTTCTATTTGATCTCTTCGATTTCGACCATTCCAAGATGATATCACAAGACGAACTGGTTCTACTGATGCTTTGCACGACTAGAGGGCTCTGTAAAGTGGTCGGTAAGCCCAGACCAGCTACAGACAGTCTTGAAGTCCTTGCTACTGACGCTTTCTCGCGCATTGATCGGGATCAGAATGGCAGAATTTCACTTGACGAACTTTCTGAGTGGATAGTACACGAGCGAACAGTGATGACTTATCTTGCAAAATTCGCGAATACTCGAGTAATTTACGAGAACCAAGTGCAGTACGACTTGATGCTGAAGGAACTATCTACTGCATTCCTGAATTTTGCCGAACCGGAAAAAGATAAACTGAAATTCCAGTGCTTCGAAGAGATCTGTGAGGAAATGATCCAGCGCTACTTCCCCGCAGCTGGGAAACACGAAATCAATTTCTTACTGCAGACAATGAAGGAAACTATGAAAAATACGCGGTCACTCGTAAAATACGGAGAAAGCAACGTTTCAGACAATGCGATCTCCATGGACGCGTTCTTTCTCGTTCTTTCACCATTTATCGCGTTCCTCGCTGCTGATGATGATGGAGAAGACTCGATCAATATCAAAGAACTAAAAATTCTGCTTTGGCTTATGTTTGGGTCGGAACCGAGCTCAAAAATGGTCGAGAATTTCATAAACGCGTTGGATAGCAACCACGACGGCGCTCTCAACGCGATGGAGTGGGTCTCGTATGCTCTTGAGACCAATAAACAGACCGGAAGCCAGTCATTCGTCAACCAGATTCATCTCCTCTTCGCGACGTCGTACGTCAACGGAGACGCCATTTTGACTCTACCAGAACTTCAACGGTGGTCTGATCCTCTATTTTTCACAGACCAATTTAAAACCTGTAAACACGCCGTCTAAACCAGAATCGGGCCCTGGGGAAGAAA